TTATTTTACAACTGTTGTAAATCTCCCTGGGAGCTTCCATTATGGGATGGCACAGAAATAAACAAACAAACAAACGTGACAGCGGTAATAATGCCCGCCTTGAGCAACAGAGCCCACTGTGATGGTTCATCCGCGGGTGAAAGGGGTCAAGAAATAACAAGGGTCATCTATCAAGCTACGAAGAGACCAAGGAGGGGTCTCCGCTGGAGGCATGTCCCTTGTCCACCCTTGGAGGAAGGGCAGCAGAAGCCCTTTCTCCACACCTGGACACCGACAGTGACCCTGAGCAGCCGGGCTACTTCCCTCGAGCGCATTCCCAAGATCCCCAGAGACATTCCCAGTCTCGTTTCCAAGTGTGTGAGTGAGAAAGATCAGCAGCTCTGGGGAAGGAGAGGCAGATCATGTGCCCCATGCTCACCCCAGGGCGCGTCCTGGTGCCGGGGCTGATATCCGAGGCCATCAGATCTGCTGGGGTGGCACCCTCGAGATCCCACAAAAGACATCCCGTAACCTCTGGGCAGAGGCTGACTAAAAGCACGCACACATCCACCTGCTGATCTGTGGGTCTCCTGCATTTCCCTTGACACTGCTGTCCGTATGAGACACGAAGGGGAAGAGAACACGTGGGAATTCGTTTGGAGCCACACACCTTCCCTAAACAAACGGCAAAGGTGGATTATTTATTTATTTAAAGCATCTGTATGCCACCCAACTGTGCCACAGCACCTCTGGGTGGCTCACAGTTCAGCGCGTTATGTGTGGCTTGCGGCAGGTGCACGGATCTCTGGGGCCTGATCTACTCGGTGTCCGGTTGAACTGGAGCTGAAGGACGGCCAAGGGGAACAGCACCATGCATGGTGGAGCAGGATGCGAGCGGAGCCCAGGGAGGCCTTCGAGATGCAGCTGGGCAGCCCTCCGTGAGGGGCGGTTCGATCTGGAGCCCTGCACTGAGCAGCGGTTGGGCCCAGTGGTCCTCTGGCCCCGTGCAATTCCACTCATCTATGATTCTGCTCCTCAGCCCTGAAGTCACCTCTCTTCCTGGGAGACAAGGCAGGTGGCGGATGAGATTATCCGAACAAGGGCGGCCTGGCCTCAGTAGTCTACTGAGTATGGCAATCTCTAAACTGGATTACTGCAATGCACTCTACGTGGGGCTGCCCTTGAAGATCCTTCAGAAGCTGCAGCTGCTGCAGAACGTCGCAGCCAGATAATAATCTTGCTGGGGCCAAGAGGTCTGAACTTATAAGACCAGACCTGCATTGGTTGCCTGGATGCTTCCAGTCCCAATTCAAGGTGCTGGTCTTAACCTAGAAAGCCCTACATGGCTTGGAAGACAGGAGAGCCAGTGCTTCATGGAGATCCTGGGCTGTGTGGACCAAATTCTGACTCAGCAGGAGCAGGTTTGATGCTTTTGTGAAATCATCCCTGCACTTGGAACCTTGTGGACTGGAGTCCCAGTAGTGTATTAGCACAAACAGAACTTTCCAGGTTCTGTCTCTGGCAGCTCTGGAGCCCTGGAGAGTTGTGGCCAATCAATGGAGACAGTCGTGACCTGAAGGCTCAAGCATCTGCCCCAGAAAAGGTCATTCCATCCCTGCCAACGGAGCCAGTCCTAGCCCACTGTGGCAAGGCTGTGATGTGTTTCTTCATTCATATGATCATTTCCAAATAGCTGACAGGGGCTCCAAATCCTCTTGCCACTTTGTTTCTGCCCTTAAGGACAGGGATTGCAAGGAAATAGGGAATTCTTCCCTCAAGTTCTTTTTTCTGTTTCTTCACTGCCATCTACTGATGAAACTGTGTAGCAAAGTCACAACTGGCAAATGGAAAAAGCAAAGGCATGGAATAAATTTCCTGTGATTAAAATACAAGCAAACAGCATTTTAGAATTATTGAGCTATTGTATTGATTGTATGTTGTTGTTGTTGTTGTTAGTCGTGAAGTCATGTCCAACCCATCGCGACCCCATGGACAACACTCCTGTCCTCCACCATCCCCTGGAGTCCACCTAAGCTCACACCGACTGCCTCAATGACCCCATCCAGCCACCTCATCCTCTGCCGTCCCCTTCTTCTTCTTTTTCCCGTCAATTGTTCCCAGCATGAGGCTCTTCTCCAGGGAGTCCTTCCTTCATCAGGTGGCCAAAGTACTTGAGTTTCATCTTCAGGATCTGTCCTTCTAAAGAGCAGTCAGCGTTGAACTCCTCTAGGACTGACCGGTTTGATCGGCTTGCGGTCCAAGGGACTTGCAGGAGTCTCCTCCAGCACCACAATTCAAAGGCCTCAATCCTTCGGCGCTCAGCCTTCGTTATGGTCCAGCTTTCACAGCCATACATTGCAACTGGGAAAACCATAGCCTTGACTATACGCACTTTTGTTGGCAGGGTGATGTCTCTGCTTTTTAGTATGCTGTCTAGATTTGCCATAGTTTTCCTCCCCAGGAGCAAACATCTTTTAATTTCTTGGCTGCAGTCCCCATCTGCGGTGATCTTGGAGCCCAGGAAAATAAAATTTGTCACTACCTCTATTTCTTCCAAATCTATTTGCCAGGAAGTGAGAGGACCGGATGCCATGATCTTAGTTTTCTTAATGTTGAGTTTCAAGCCAACTTTTGTGCTCTCTTCCTTCACCCGCATCAAGAGGCACTTTAGTTCCTCTTCACTTTCTGCCATGAGCATGGTATCATCTGCATATCTGAGGTTGTTGATATTCTTTACAATCTTAATTCCAACTGGTGATTCATCTAGCCCCGCCTTTCTCATGATGTGCTCTGCGTATAAGTTAAATAGGCAGGGCGACAGTATACAGCCTTCCCGAACTCCTTTCTCAATTTTGAACCAATCAGTGGTTCCATGTCCAGTTCTCACTGTTGCTTCTTGACCCGCATATAGGTTTCCCAAGAGACAAATAAGATGTCTGGTATTCCCATCTCTTTAAGAACTTGCCACAATTTGTTGTGATCCTCACAATCAAAGGCTTTAGCATGGTCAATGAAGCAGAAGAAGATGTTTTTCTGGAGCTCCCTAGCTTTCTCCATGATCCAGCGTTTGGTAGCAATTTGATCTCTAGTTCCTCTCCCTCTTCGAAATCCTGCCTGTACTTCTGGTAGTTCTTAGTCCACGTATTGCTGGAGCCTAGCTTGCAGGATTTGGAGCATAACTTTGCTAGCATGTGAAATGAGTGCAATGGTACGGTAGTTTGAAGATTCTTTGGCACTGCCCTTCTTTGGGATCGGAATGTAAACTGACCTTTTCCAATCCTGTGGCCACTGTTGCGTTTTCCAAGTTTGCTGGCATATTGAGTGTAGCACTTTTACTGCATCGTCTTTTAAGATTTTGAATAGCTCAGCTAGAATACTGTCGCCTCCACTAGCTTTGTTGTTGCTCAGACTTCCTAAGGCCCATTGGACTTCACATTCCAGGATGTCCGGCTCGAGGTCAGTGACCACCCCATCGTGGTTATCAGGGACGTTAAGCTCTTTCTTGTCTA